GGGTGGGTGGCAGAGGGGGAGCAGGCCTTGAGGGTTCTCTGGTGAGGCAGCCCCTGCTGGCCCGGGGGATCTCCTGGCCTTCTCATCTGGGGGCCAAGCTGCGCCATTTCTTTGGCAGGGCCCTCCCAGTGCTGGCCCTTAGGGTGGTGTTGGTGGGGCGTCTCTCTGCCCTGGCCTTTTGCCTGGAGGAGCAGCCCTGCATGCGCAGAGAGCAGCCTCCCTCCCGGGGGGATGTGTGCGTGCGTCTTGAATGAGCCAGCTTCCTGAGAGCTCAGCCTGGACCAGGTCAGTCTGCTGTGAGCAGAGTTTGCTTTCCAAACCCCAGAGCGCCCCCCCCCCAAGAAACAGAGGGCAGGTTGCTCTCCACAGTTATCGATCCACCTGGTGCTTTGGACACAGGATGTGGCAGGGCTTGGCGATGGGGGTGGGGAGCCGCTGCCGTTGAGAGCCTCCTTCCTCCGGGGGAGTGGGGTGGGGGGTGGAGAGGGTCCATGACGGTCACCTTCCCCCAGGGTTCCGGGCTCGGTGCAGCCCCTGAAGCTGCGCAGGCCAGGATCCAGGCCATCCAGGAGAAGATTGCTGAGCGTCAGCGGATCCTCTCCCTGCCCCAGCGCTTTGCAGGCAGCAAGCAGCTGAGCCGGCGCGAGATGGAGATTGAGAACTCCCTCTTCCAGGGCACAGATCGCCACTCCTTTCTCAGGATGCTCTACTACCAAGGTGTGTGCATCGGGGGGGGGCGGGCAGAGGGGTTCCTGCTGAGCCCCTGGAGTCCCAGGCAGGTAAGACTGCAGGATCCCTGAGGGTGCTGCTGCCCCAGTGGGAGGGTGCATGATCCACTGTGATCTCTGGTGCTTCTCTCGTGGCTCAGATGAGACCGGACAGACTGCAACCTGTAAGGAAGGTCCCCTGGCTCAGCTGGAGACTGTCTATCAAGAGCTGCTCGGACAGCCCTCGGCGGAGCCCCTCCAACCCCCCCAGGATGAGCCCCCTGGCCCCACGGGCTCCGTGCCCCCCAGGGGCCCTCTAGCAGCTCAGGACTCCGTCCCACCCCAGGAGTCGGGGATGATCACCGTGAGGGAGGCAGTGGCGTTGGTGCCGGAGGAGGAGATTGTCAGGAACCGCCTCTCAGTGGACGAAATCCGCAGGATGCCCCGGTTTTCCTCTTACGCCCCTGGGGAGCCGAGTGAGGTAACTGCCGTTCCTCCTCCCAGCCTCTCCAGGA